GCTGGGACATTTGATCCACAGAGACAAATGGAGAGCACTTGCACTGAAAACAGTGGGCAGGCTGTCTGGGGGAGGGGGAGCTATCATGGATAGCCATCCTGGAGATATCACTGACATTTCTTAAAGGCTCGTGCAGACTTCACAACTTTCAGCGTCGGCCGTGCTGTTCAAACCACACAACTTGCCGTCTTGTGACGGGAGTCTTGAAGTTGTTGTGGCTACGTGACTGATCGGTGACAGGGGTCACATACTACACGAGCTGACAGCGGCTCTGTCACCAGACGCTGGTCTCCAAACCACATTTTGTCAAGAAAACACGGGAAATGTGAAACGGGAAATGACGCAAACCTACAGACAAAACAGCTGTTGTTTGTTATTATAAAGACAAGGATTAACAGGAATCGTTTGAGCTACAGAGAGAGCTGGAGTGGAGTAAAAGGTGTTTTGTGGTGAAAAAGTAGCTGCCTGCTCTCATTGGCTGGATGTGAATGTCGAGTCGGCCGGCTCCTCCAGATATTTGGCATGCTAGATATCTGGCAGACGTCGGCAATGTGTCGGGAACCCGTTGAGATGCGTCGTTGAGTAGTTCACACAAACACGGCTGGCGACCGCTGATTTACTCTCGATCACAGCCCGATAGTCGCCGAGCTCGCTGAGCGGCAATTCGGGCTAAAAATCGCGTAATGTGAAGTAGGCTTAAGGTGCTTCCCAGTAAGTTTAGTCTAAATGCGTGGATGAGTTACTGCATCCTGACGAAAACATTTTGATTATATAGTAATCAATGAAGATATAAATCATTTCACTGTTAATGTGAAAAGTTCAATGAAAATATAAATGAAAATCTCTAATCTTTCTCAGCGGACTTTGTAACATGCAGGATCAGCTTACTTTGCCCCACCAGCAACAGTTGCTGAGTCACTGAAGGCTGAAAGCTGCTGGGATGAGAAGGTGCTGCCAAACTCAGAGACTTCAAGATGAAAGAGATGAACATGTTCTTTCCCAGGAGCTGTTGACAGCAGAACTGACTTCTAGGTCAGGATGGGTAAGGATCATCCACAGGGTCCAGACCTTTGCGGTAACCATCAGGAAAACAGCTGGTCATGGGCTCTCATTCCACCCATCCACCGTCACTCATCCCACTTAGCAAGAGCTGAGTCAACGACATGAAATAGACACTCCCCTAACCGCCAACCACAATGCTAGACAGTCTACGGTTATCTCAAGCTTACACCATCAATGGGAGCTTTGACAGTCTTAGATGATTGTAGGGTGACTGTGAACGCCTACGTGAGGGGTTTCTCAGGACATCTGTTTGTGAGAAATACTCCTGTTTGTGGTATTTTCTTGGCCGTATGTTGAACCTGCGAGAGTGACAGTGAGAAGTCTGTTCATGCAGGCACATGCGGGGTCTCAGGTGGCACAATGGATGTGAAAAAGTGAGAAAAGCCAAGTAAGATGTGTAGGAGGCAAGGGAAGGGAAGACCACCAATTGGACAGCAGTGAAGCGAAACATTACACATTAGCTCTGTTGGTTCACAGATCGGCCTAACGTTGAAGCTGCCCAACTGAGGGATTCAGCTTGGAGACCCAGCAGCAACCTTAATCAGTGAGTGTGTGTTTTGATTGCTGATCACTCAGTAGAGCCCCTGCAGGTTCCACATCATGTAAGCCCAAGGGGGTAAATACCTGTGATGCAGAAACGCTGTGTTGAGACATGGTGTTAAGTGAGTGACAATGCTATGGTGCAGATGTGTGGCTGGCAGGGCTGGGGTACAGAGGCAGGTGTGAGGCCCAGACCACCTACAGTCCAAGCTGAGAGGGCACACTGTTTTATATTTCCCTTTTAGTCCCTCAAACAGTGCAGGTGTACCAACACCTAGCCGTCAGCTCATTTATGAGTCATTAGTCCCGCCTCCTTCTGCCCCTGTCTCTCTCTTTCTGTCTTTACATATCTCTATTTAACCATCAGTAACTGGCTTGTTGCCAGAATGTCAATTATTGTCACCAGGTACAGTATATTGGTACAGAGTATTTCCTAACCTTTGTGGCTTGTGAACCCTTAAGTAAAGCCATAAGTATGAGCAGTCAAGTGGGAAAAACCTTTCACATCAACTAGCGAGCTGGTGATATTAGGGATTTCTAACACTTACAATATGTCCCACTTGATAGGAAGATATGACAAAGACTCAACAAAGTTACTTTGAATTTTTATTATATTTTATAGTTAGTGGAAAATATATATATAGTAGTTTCGCTACTGAAGATTCAGAAAACAGTGCACAGCAGTTTACATGATAATGACTTTAAAAAGTAAAAGTGGAGATTTGAAGGTCACTCAGAAACAGAGTTGAAAGAAAGAGCCAGTAATAACAATACAGACAAACACAGCTGTGCAAGTGAGTGATTTATGGTTTCAAAGTGTTTCATAATCTTTACTCATACAGGAATCATTACACATCTTCATTCACAGTCAGAAACATTACATTTTCCTAGTAATATCAGAGTTCTTTTGGCCACTTTACAATAGCATTGTGCCTGAATATACTGAAATCAAGTGAGGGTTAATATCTTTAAAAGAAAAAAAACTGCTGTGATCTTTTGCAGACTGTGTCTTTATAATACTGTGTAAAAAGAGTGTCTTGGTCGTTTTATTAATTTGCAGGTGTAATGATACACACTGATCTGCATTTGTATGCACTGAAATTGTTGACACCAGGGTCTGCATCCTGAGTGTTGCAAGTGGTTTGGAAAGAAAAGCTCTTGGGTTAAGTTCAGGAAAAGATTTGGATTTTGGTTAAAGTAAGTGAGTTTGTTAATAAATTAAGTTTGACTTATCCAATATTTAATCAAGTGCTTGAGTGTCTGAACATAATTATGACAAGCAGCTAGTTTTTAAATTCACCAGCAAAAACTCTGAAGCTACTTGCCTTGTACAAGTAATAGGATTACTTAGTATCTACTTAGGTGTGATGATTCATTAATATTTTGATGATTTATTAATATTTACTATATATGCCTCCATTCATTTTTTCCTCATCAGAAGTCAGATTCAGAAACCAGTTTATTGCCAAGTAGCTTTTCTACATACAAGTAAATTGTATGCAGAAAATGGAAAATAGGAGAAAAATTTTATAATTGTGTTGATTCAAATTTAATTCAGGTGGAACTTTAAGTTTTAGACTCATTCATAAATTAGAAAATAATTTTATTCTTTATTTCCAGTGTCCTGTAAAGTCCTGTTCTGCCCTGAAGTCGTGATTTATACAGCAAGAGGCCCCTCAGTAAACAGAGGGAGCAGACGCACTGCTCAAGGGCTCCTCATTCATCTCGTCATCCCAGGGACACTGACAGCTGGCCTTCGTGACGGGACAATGAGTCCGAGAGGAGCTCCAGCAGGGAGACACTGGCCAAGGGCCCTATCTGCCCCAGAATGAGACACTCTCTCTGAAGGGGTTAAAGTCTTAATCCTCTTCTATTCTCTATGGCATAAGGATTAGCCAGATAAAGTTAATACGCACACCTTCAGGTTAGGGACTAGAAGAAGAGCCCAGCTCTGTGGCTGTTAAGCCTGCAAACAACATGCAGTCTTCACTGCCCTCATTGGCTGTAGCCAGTACAAGAGGCCATTTTGACCAGAGGGTGACCACCCCTATTTCAAATCCCTTTATGTAAAAAGAACAGATTGTTTGACTTGTCCCTCTGCCCCTTATGCGTATGCATTTTGTCACCACTTAACCCCTGAGCTAGGTCATGATTGAGATAGAATTTGCATTCATTCACCATGAAAATATTGTAAGAGCTATGTAAACAAGCGCATAAATAGAGTGATTTCACAGCTCAAACTGCTGACCCTCAAAAGGGGTTTTGTTTGCCGCTGCTCAGCAGTATATAAATATTCAATTGCCTGTTAGCCACGACTGCTGCTAATCCTCAGCAGAAGTCGCTGCCAAGTTGGAACATATTTGAGGGCAGCTGGATAGTAAATCATAAGAACTCAAACACAGAAATATACCAGAGAGCTTGCTGTTTATGCCTTTTGTTCTGGAGCGATGATAGCTGTGACAGCGGGCTTGTGAGACGAGACAAAACCCACCAAGGCTCTATCATGACCTGTCCATGCTCTGAAGCAAGCAAGATGAAAGAAGAACACTACTCATGGCAAAACAATACAAATTTGCTGTTGTGAATACTTGACATATACTTGATATATATTTTAAGTTTAAAATGAGTTGTTATAGTTCATCACCATGATTGGCTGGTGCAGGCATCAATACCGCCATGTCTATAATACAATTTGAAAGAACTATAGCTTGTGTATATATGTAGGTTCTAAAGAATTTTATGTCTAAAGATTTTAAATCTAAAGCTCTAATCAGAGAGGTGGAAAATTATTAACATTCTCAAACAGTAAAATAAAAACTGCGTGTTCTAACTTTTACAGTACAATAATTCACTCAAACTGTTTATTGGCTTAAGCAAATGGATACTGGTATGTTGTGTAAGTGAAAACAGGTGGTACAAGTGCTGTGGTTGGTATGGAGACATACATGGTCTACAATATGTCTGTATCTATACATGTGGTGTATTTTTCATTTTTCATATCATCTAGATATCTATATCAATCTGTAACTCTATTCATCTCTTTATTACTGCTTACACTGCTGTTCATGTGCTCTAAAAAAATAAGGTTTTGGATTTTTTTTTACTATCCACAATCTTTACCAGAAGTACTGTAGGTATCATGGGAGATACAGCAAAATTTATTTAATAGCTAGATAAACCATATCTTCCACAGAGAAACGAGGCAACAGGCGACACTCATGGCATATTTGTGTGACATTCATAGATGTAATTTGGCGCCTGTACTCATATCACCACTGTCAATCATGTCAGATGGCCAGTGAGTGAGCATGCGTTTGCTGAAACACTGTCTGCCACAATAACATGTTTACACTGTGGAAAGGAAAATCTATTGGGCTTCTACAGAACGCAGGCGTGTGTCCTGAAAGACATAGAAAGATTTGTGACTGTTTTATTGAATGAACAGACTTTCTGACTTTATCCCTCATTCATACAGTTACAAATATTTCCATCCGCAACAGACTTTATCAGGCAATACTTACAAAAAGATAGAAAGATAAAATAAAATAATCATGCACAAGTCATCATTTTTATCAGTGTTAAGTATTGATTATGGTTAATGGCTTGCAGGCACCAACTGGCAGGCGTGCAGATCCGTGTTAGTGCTGTTGCAAACCTGCAGCCATATTAGGTTTGTTCATTCAGTGGTTGGAACATGAAGTGCCTGCCAAGTTAGAGGAGACAGGACAGGGACAGTGTTTAGGACATGTTTAGTCTCACTAATAAAAAAATCTAACCATTTTGTTTTGTTATTTGTATGTTGCAAATGCCTTGAATGTTAAGATACAGGTGATTCTTCACATTTGACATTTGCAACATTAACAAGAACACATCACATCCTATAGAAAAATGGCAGGCACTGTCAGCACTTCTGCCTGAGAGATATCACTGCATGTATTAGCAGATCACTTTATTTCTTTCATATTAATCATAATTTCTCTTAAATTAAAAAGTCATTTGCCAGTATTTCTGAGTCATCAAAATGTATTTACCCCAAACAATCCATCTATCCAATCTATCAATGCGCTACTAGTTTTCACTCACACACAATACGCTCATGGTAACACTCATCGTTCGGCTCGCTTCATCTCCTCTTCAAAGGACATCTACTCCGAATTGGAGGTGTGTAGCGAGTGTTTGATTGTCAGAGCGTAAGAAAGTGACTGTGAACATGAGGAGGAAAATATTCTGGCTTAAATATACTATGTCGGTTATGGTGTGTTAGCTTCTCAAGACAAAGAAAAGTCTGTTTGTTGTTTCCCCAACTGCTGGAAAAGTGAAGCCTGTTTGCACTAAGTTTGCTAACATCTCCCCTCCCCTTCAGACTGCGCACCTGAGCAGAAAAGCTTATACAGTGGGCTTCATCTTTTGGCTGCTATGTAACTTAACATTAGCTCAATTTATACAAATTAACTGGTAGCTGTATTTTATTACTACGTACTTGTCCAATGTTGAGAACATCAGGTACAAACTCAAGTGGTTTAGCCTACAGCTCTGTCCTGTATAGACTGATTGAATTATTTGTCAGGTTTCAGATGAGTTTGAAAAAGTGCTTGTTAGGAAAAGAAAGGACGGTGGTGACTGGAGGAGCTGAGGCAAGGAAAGTTTTTAGTAAAAGTAATTTAGCCTATTTCTTTATATTAATGTCTACACAGATAAAGGTCATGTTTTATTATCTGTTTTAGCTTTTCCAACTATTTATTCAGAGATATTGTGAAAATAATGGCCCAATACGATGTGAAATACACCGCAACCCTGAACGCAGGATAAGCGGTTGACGGTGGGTGGATGGATATGAATTACATATTTTTCATTGGAAAACTTAAAATTTTCTTGGGGGAGGACCCCCAAACCCCTGACCATGACTAACATGACGAAATTTTAATTATTCTAATGTGCATCACATGCTCATGGACACAAGAACAATTCTGCTGAGACGTGTTGGGGTTTTTTATTCAGACAAACTACGCAATACGTGCACAAAAAAATTTTTTGCTTCACCTCTCTTGCTACAACTCCATCCTAGGGGAAACACTGCAACAAAATTAAAAGGCATTAGTGCATGGCTGAGAAAAAAAAGTGAATTGTGGAACCTAAAGCCTAACAGATGGCTTTTCGCTGAGAACACCTTTCCATCTAAACACCATTGTTTTTACATTACCATACCATAAAACCCCTCTAGGTATCAGTGGAATCTATGGAATGGCTAAACGACCTGTTGAAGTTCTTGTGAGATCGCCTTAATCCATCTGTAATCCCGCTCAGATAAACCTGCCATATCTCAGGTGATATAAAGAATAGCTCCATTCATCTGTTCAATGAGAGGGATTCTGTGTAAAGCTGAGAAGTTCCTCTGTTTACCAGAGTATCTATCATTGGTCATTAGGACATGAGTGGCAAACCGACAGTACAAACATGGCTCAGATCCAGGTGGGACTTGATTGCTGATTGGGCCGAGCAAATTCCAGCATTCTGTCTGGCTAAAGGCACAATGCGAGATATCAATAAAGAAGCAGGATATCAGTAAAGAAGCTGGAGGGCCACTTTAATCCACAGTGAAACAAGAGCGGCCTCTGTCACCAGGCCTTGTTTATTACTGAAGGGATTAAGGTATTGCTAGGTTAAGAACAACTTTGATCATGACTGCTGGCTCCCGGAACGTACAAAGGCTTGAACATAAGCCAAGGCAACAATTACCAGCCAACAGAGGGTCATTAGACAGAGAGTTGCTGCCCATGTTCCAGACCCCCCCTCAACCAGGACCTTTGATAATATCAAACCCAACTCCACTCCTCCAAGCGTTGCCACAATCTTGCAACCAAGGCTGACTAATGCTAAAGTACAACTCTGTAGACTCCACTGAGAACCAGCATTCCTCACAACTAAAGCAGAGAGGAGTGGCCCAACAGGAAGTGTCCAGGGTGGGCCAAAGTGGGAGGCACTGAGCCTATGGGTGGTTAGGTCCATGGAGAGCTGCTCAGATCTGGTTCAAATGTGATGCTATCTCTCTGCTGTGATTTGCTTGATATCTTTTTGCTGTTATTGATTTACCCAGGGGACAGTCAATTAGGGCTAAACAATTTAGGAAAATAATCTAATTGCGATTTGGTTTTTTTTACCAATATGCGATTGCACTGCAGATCCATCTCACCCCGGACACAACCTGTTCCAGCTCCTTCCCTCTGGTAGGCGCTACAGAGTACTGTACGCCAAAACCAACAGACTCAGGAACAGTTTCTTCCCACAAGCCCTCTGATGAACAGCTGATTTCTGACTCACAGTGTCAGGAACAATTCCTGTGCAATAATCCAGTAACTCTGCCTCTAATCAGCCACCTGTTTACTGGTTTCCGCTTATTATTTATATATTCACCATTCTCTATTTCAGTGCTGTTCATACTATGTTCATACTATGTCATATTGTATATACTGTATACCAATACACCTACCTCAGGTCATAAGGTCATAGGTCTTATTTATTTTTTCCAGCATCCTTTGCACTATGCTCTATCACACTGTGTACATGTATGTGTACCTGTATATCATATCCACCTTCAACATGTACATAATGAGAATAGTTTACTCTTGCATCCTTTGCACTCTAATTACTGCACTATTTGTCAATATGTCTATATTGTGTTGTTCATAGTGTGTATATTAGTGTTGTCTACTCTGTAGTTTGTGTCTGATTTGATTTTATTATTATTATATTATTATTTTATTGTTGTATAAGTAAGCACATCGTGAGCAATGTACAATCTTGAGTCAAATCCCTCATATGTGTACACATACCTGGCAATAAAACTGATTCTGATTAATATGCAATTCATTTTTAAGCTCTTTACCTTCTGTATTATTCAAAATGGACATGCAGTAAATCAGTGTATAGTATCACCAACACAATATTAGATAGACATATACATATACTGTTCTTTCTTGTGGGTCAGGTCTGTGTTGTGATGAATTAGGTAGAATTATTATTATGAGCAATGGTGAAGAAGATATATCAAATTATAATAATATGAGAAAGATAAGTCATGGCATTACATGATATAATATCATCAGGTCAGCCTATCTACAGACCACAAGAAAAACTAACTACAGTGTATTATACAGTACGCACTCAATACAAAACCAACAGTTCAACCACCAATTAATGCGTCCTTATCTCAGTTCTAATCTCCTAGGAGTTCATCTTTCTGTACCCCAGTAAGCAAACAAAAAAAACCTCGGTTTTAGGTTCAAAAGTTGGCCAACGAAAAATAAAACCAAGTGACGCCTTTCGTGTTTAATAGACAAGCTTGGTAATTCTCCGACTACACCGGAGTTCCCCACCCCCACAGCCTGCAATGCTGGTATGACGCAGGCGCCGACTGCCACAAAACGCTTACCTTACTACACGTGTCTTTCTGTTGTGCATTTTTCCTGTCTATCAAAGCTGCGGATGGCCCGACGATTTCACCCACCACCAAGTTACCCACGGGTGGCAGGTGCTACTTTCATTCCCTGTGTGACACTATGTAGTGTCAGCTTCTCTCAAGCTTAAGGCCATTGTACAACAAGAAGGCAAGGTACAGCGTAAGATGCAGACAAAGCATCAACTTCGTCTGCAGACTGCTTTCCTCTTGGGTGTCATGTGACCAGAGAGTAATCACAGCCTTTGCGATTAGAAAATCTCGTTTTATTACATCGCAATACAATTAATCGTTTAGCCCTACAGTCAATTCAACTAAAACAGGTGCAGTTTGAGTTTATTCCTGTAAATAGAAAACATCCCATAGGTTGGGAATTTTATCTCATAAAGTAAGACATGTATTAGTTTAATTCAAGGTAACTATAAAGATATTATATAATGCAACTTCAAATCCAAATATGGCCTTAAATGGGTATATTTTAGCACTTTAAGGCTAAGCAACATAAGAAAAGCCAGCTTAAATTTCCCACATTATGCAAAATCCACTTTTTCATTTCTTTTCAACCTTAAAATGTGTCCCTGGTGTGTCTAAAGACCCACAAACTATAAGACTTTCTCCTGCACCATCTTGTCAGTAAATGTGTGTGCAAGCATGCGGTTTGAATTTGGCTCCCTTCTTGACATCATGAACGGATCGGACCTCCTCCAGCTCTTCAGCGCAGTAGACGCCCCTGCCCACTGAACATGTACTGTCTAACACAACACCAAGTGTCATTTCATTGCTGAGCCAGAGCTGGAGGGTGTCTCACAGAAAGTGCTTTGCAGAAAGTGTTTTTATGGTTTTATGGCGCTACTACTAACTGTAGCTGCTGTTATCAGCTAGCTCTGCCTGAAACAGCGGTGTAAGGCTGGGAATCCACTGACTCTGGCTACGGTATATTATGGCATGTTTTTGTGTCAACTTCAGGCTGCATTTCCCACAAGGAGCATTTCAGAATCAGAGCCTTATGCGTCCCTGATTTTGCTGACATGTTAAGATTTTGTTGATTTGGTAATCAGTGTTTGCATTTTGTGCTTCTACTGTGATTAAGTAGGCTACGTAGTTAAGTGATTTTTTGTTCATTTTAACCGTGTTTATTGTTGTTTTACAGTCAGGAGTCTCAACAGGTGTTTTACTTTGAAAATTCTCTATGCTGTTCTGTGTCTGACTTCCTGCCTGGTTCGATCTGCTCTGTGCTGCTTGACGTGGCTAGAGACGAAAATAGACCTGCTACCTATTCTGTGCGGAGTGGAGAGACGCTTCTGGGATGCTTCAGGGATGCACTGCGGCTGCGTCTGGTGGACTCAAAAGCACTGACTACAATGGCATAGCCATAACGCGCCATAGCCGGAGTCAGCTGATAGGACGGCTATGTGAGCAGTAGTTAGTGGCTAAAGTAACTGCTAAGAGTAAGTAAAGCCACATTATATATGTTAATCAGCAAACTCAGTAAATTGAAAGTTGAAGCAGAACAGGTGGAGAACATCAGAGGGAAAACCAGAAAATATTGTATCCATGAAGTATGATCTAGTTTCACCAAAATCAAATTCACCCCTCTTCTGCCACTGCACATACACGCTACGCCTACACATGCGCACTGACGACCCAGGCTTACGGTTAAAATTTTTGATTAATTGACATACTATAAAAACATTTATTGAAGGTTTTACATGTTTATTTACAGCATTAAACATTAAAAAGTATATTGTAATAGGCTGTATATTAAGTTATTTAGAGAAAACTGGTAGTTCTATGTAAAATCAGACGTTGGGCACCCTCATACCGCCAATATGGCATGATCCTTGTTTCGCTTCGACTGTGAGATTGACAGTCGAATCAGGCTGGAATAGTCGAAGCATCGACTCTTCGGGGTCAGCCCTATTAGCTACATTTATATTATATAAGTAACATTAAATATCTGCATTTCATTACTACCTACTTGTTTGGATTGTTGTTAAATACTTTGCTTTAAAAGTACCAAACAGTCACACATAGGGCTGCAACTAACGATTATTTTCATAGTTGACTACTGTGTTAATAATTTATTTGATTAATCAACTAGTCACGATTATTTTTGTCACACCCTAACCCTAATTAAACCATTTAACTAATTAAATATCTTTTAAGTGAATTACTGATCTCCAACACACAGCCTAACTAGCTAACGTTACCATTAAGTGAACAAGGTTTACTATTCAGAATTAACAGCAGTATCAACGGCAGGGGGAAACCAGGGAAGAAGACAAGACAGCGTAGGCTACTCCTATAATTCAGTGATTTATACACACTTTAAAACTTTTAACTTTTTAACAAAGATTTTTGCTTTGGAACTACATAAAATAAAAACTGAATTTATTATTAAAGGATAGCCTCTTGAGATGCATCATCTCATTTTCAAGAGGGTTCTATATATAAAAGCAAATTAAAAGCAAGTACTATAATCAAAACTGTACACTAACAATGTAATGTCTATTTAGAACAGCAACAGTCCGCTTTCATACTATTTTTCCAAAGTGCTTATAAATTTTATAAGTGGAGAATGTTCTATAAGCTACATCACGAGCCACATGTTCCTTGATGTACTTTAAACAATTACTCATTATTAATACCTTTATTAAAGCTGTGGGTCCCCGACATTTCCAGTGTTGTGTTGGACAGATTTGTGCTGCGGTGTTCATGAGGGAGAGAGGGAGAGATAATTGAAACTCATTTGCAAACTCTGACTGTTACCGCTCTTGTAAATTGATCAAAGTGAGGATAATGTTGCAGCATGAAGGCTAACTTTATATGCTCATGTAACCCTTATTACAATGTAGTAATAATGTACATTTGTGTAATAGTCTAAAGTAGTCTCATAGGTTATCATTAATGTGAATTTGGAAGAAGCTAAGTTGTTAAGAACCTGAGAATTGAATGTCAAAAAATACCACACCAGAATGACAGTTTGCATAAAGTGTATTAAATACACAGAATTATGCCTGGTACATAAATATAAATAACAGTTATGAAAAATAACAAAGTGCGCACAGAAATAAAACCCTTTAATTTCCTTCAGCTCGGTTTGTCCTCGGTTCCACTTGCTTTTATTGACAAGAGTTCACAGGGCTTGACAATAACTGTGGCCCAATGGCCCGGGGCCAGTAAAAAGTAACGTCGGGACAGTTGAACTAGCAACTTACTGGCCCGATCAGGCCAGTGCAAAACCATTAGTATTTAAAAAATAATTAGAAACTCAACATCCTGCAGTTGTTCTGCAACTCTTGGCATGCACCGTTGTCCAATCCAGAGTTGTAGTTGCGTGACTAGTGGAAATTTGCCTTTGCCTTCCTCCCTTAACACTCTGGCCCCCCTCAAAACAAAAAACGTCACCTTTAACACCTCGTCACCCTGGTACACACCTGCACTCCGGAAAATGAAACAAACTGGCCACCAACTTGAACGTCTGACAAAAAAAAAAATCTCTCACAGTCCAACATGAAGCCTATAAATTCCACCTCATTGCCTACAAAGATGCCCTCATTGCTGCCAAATCTGCCTACCTCTCCTCCATCTTCTCCAACCCCTGTCATAACCCTAGAACCCTCTTCTCCACAATGAACAACCTCATCAAGCCTCAGACCATCACCCTTCCTACCTCTTCTCCGGATCTCTGCAACTCATTCCTTCACTTTTTCGCTGATAAAATCAACACCATTTATCAGTCTCTATCCCATGCATCAGACCTCCCAGTATCTATTCCAGCACCTACCATGGACCCTCTTCCCCCTGTGCCTGACCTCCCACCTCCTCCTCCACACTGCCTCCAGTCCGTTTGCCGCCGCCATCTTTCATACTTCCGTGTTACTTTCAGTAACAGTTCTACTTTGCTGTCGGTCAGTGCAAAAAAAAAAAGCAAAAAGCCTGGTGTGGTTCTTGGTCTGTATTAATTTCTTCTTTCACTAAATCATCTGCTAATGCGGAGTACACCATCTGCTTCATGATTACACTGGCACGCGCATGGCCAGTTTAGCTACCTGAATGGCCACTAGATGTGTGTTTTCAGTCGTTCTATTATAGACAGAGATCAACTCTAATACGCAACTAAAACGCTGCTGTGGACGGAGAAGATCGTTTTCATTATAAACACTGTTTTAAAAATATAGCAGTGTGGACATTGCCTCACATTACCCCAATCCTCTCTCTACTCCTCTCATGTCAACCCTACCGTTTTCCCCGTAAATCTCCAGTATTTTTAACCTTTATAAAGTCAAATAAAAACCTTTTGGCTGTATTATATAAGTGTTTGCTATTCTCTCCTCTGGTAAAGTCGGTGGCAGCATCAAAGATATGTAGACTGTGCTTCCTGCATAAAAATGAAAGCAATCCACTGAAATGATATAAGGCCTATAGCCTACTAATAGCAAACCATATGAAATTATAATGAATATAGTAGCCTATGTAATATTAACAATTGACTGTATAATATGGAATTTACATTGTAGCCGATTTTTTATTTATTTAAATTTTCCTTTTTTTCAAATCTCATTGAAGGCAGTTTTGACTCCTCTCTGTAGCCCTTCTCCCTCTCTCTGCTCCTCTCTCCACTCCTCTCTCTCCCCCCTAAAGCCCACAGAACCTGCCTGAGCTTTCCACAACAAAAAGCAGCTACTTCAAAGTTTATCATCGACTCATGATGCCTGTGTTCCTTTATCTGCTAAATATTTTGGCTACAGCCTTTTTTGTTGCAGTTTTTATGGTTGTAGTAAATTTATCAAGATGCTGTTTGTTCTGTTTTTGTAGTTTATTCCACAGTAAAGCTATATTTGTTAAGCTATAAGATGTTCACAGTAACCAGGCAAAGGCTGCTCTAACACAGATTGAGCAGAATTTGTTGCCCATGTTTCCTGGCAATAAAATAAACAGTTGTCATTTCATGATACTGTAACATCTGTTAACTTTAACACTTTACATTGTTTTTAGGACCAATTAAATAAATATACAGTATAATGCTACATGATAAATGCTACATGATAAATAAAAGGCTCCAAATAGACCCAGTGATCGGTACCGCCCGAACACTTAGCTAACTATGACCTAAAAAAGTCAGCATTACGAGAGAAATAACTATACTTGTTACCCAATTTCTATTTAAGTGGGCATGTAGCATTATGAGAAATCTGTAGATAACGTTATTTAACCAAATCATAATCCATGCCAACGAAAGACAATAGTTTATTTACCTTAACTTACCTGATATGAAGTGTGCACCGCAAACGCGAGCATTTTTGATGATCGTTTCTGTCCAGTCCGCTTGTTTTATTGCGTTTAACCACAAGTGTCAACGTTTTTTTTTGTCTGGCAATGGCAGCAGGTATGCGGTAAAATTTCAAATTGCCTGTACTCCGTCAATTCTGGCCACCAACAACACAACAAGATGACATTTTAAGCTCCTTGTGTAGCCGACCCTGTGCTGGTTTGTATTGGCCGCCTCCAGTTGTCCATTTGTTTTGCCTCCAGCTAACGCTGCAACGTAGGCAAAAAAAGCGTCTATTAAAACCCTTACAACTTTAGCTACAGTATTGAAAATTAGAGGCATGATTAAGGCATTAGCTTGCTTATTTTTCGCCCTCTGCACTGGTAATACTAAAATGTACCTCTTTAACCTCCATTAAACAACTGAATCCACAGTTTTGTAACATCATTATTTATCAAACTAACCATAGTTAGCAACAGGATGGAAAGGTAACATTTCTTTTTATAACCCACAGACAAAATTAGACAGACATTAGTTATTTTCACAGGCAGTAAACAATATTCCGCTAGCCTATAGTGGCTAATTACCCTATTAGCATATGAATACAGCAGACTGACCTTAGCTGTACACAATTAGCACCTTTGCATTGCTTTACCCATTAGCGTCGATTAGCATAAATGCTAGCGAACTCACAGTTCACTCAGTAGGCTAGGTTGAATACAAATACAAACAGGCATCAAAAGCCTGAGGCCTGTTAGCATGGATGCTAGCGAACTCAAAAGCCTAGCGCCAGGTAAACAACTCTCCATTTTAGCGGAATTCAGTGGATTCAGGCACAGCTCTCTTTTACTTTATATTACAACAAGGTATAGTCAGTATAAGCAATACTGATTTTAGAATTTGTTTAATTCACTCAGTGTCGTTTTCCATCTTACCAAATGGATAACGTAGCCTCCTATGCTCAGGTGAAGGCGCCAAAAGAACGTGCAGAGATGCTAATCTAGGCCTAACTGTAACGGAGCCTAGCTGACAGCTGATTGGTCAGCTAAATGCCTCATAGAGTTCAACCATTTGCTCACTTGCAAGTCCATCAAAAATAACTAGTAAAACAAACGTTAACTCTTTGTACATAGGTCAGACAGCTAAATAGTGTTGGTCATTATTAAGCTTGGGCTACACTCAGTTTGCATTAGTTATTTTTGTCAAATGTATTGTCAGCCTTCAGCAATATCATTAATTCATTTTACTTCAGGCAAGGTTCAGGCTAGATAACCTCTTAAGTAAATTAATGTATTATTTACATACAATAATTGGGATTCATGTTGATAAATATGGGTGGGCAGGAGGGTGAGTGTGAGCAAGCATTGTCAGTGTGACAACCATTTCATTTGCCTTTTTGCAACTTTGGTAATGAAGTAATATTTTCCACTGTGTTGTCCACGTTTATATGGCCTGCATGAAACAACACGGTAAGAAAGCACAGTGAGAAGTGGACCACTTTTTGTAGTCCATCTTTGGAACATTGTAGTTTCACCATGGCAGGCCACGTCAATACCATCCACCATCGCATAATTACGTAATCTAGGCTAAGTGCAGTTGGATTCTTTTAGTCCTGACATTGTCTTTTCCTAAGTCCTTATGACGTCTCCTTCACATCTTTCCTTGAAATCATGACGTTTTCCACCGAGGTAAAGGAAAAGTGGTTAAGAAAAGATATTTTTCTGACTTTTTGCAGTCCTAGTCTAGCATAGAAAACCCTATGCTGCCCCTCAGAAGGCTTCCTAGAAGTTGGACAATCAGAAGAAAGTGGGCTTTTAGGGAAGGAGGCCTTAGGGACATGAGCTAAATGGAGTGTTCAAATACAGGGTTAATAGAGGTGCGGAAGCAATGGACAGTATGAGAAATATACCTATATTTTGTTTTTATTTAGATTTCATAATCATATTTCACCCATTGATAGCACAATCATAACACCAGGTAAATGTTTTGTAGGTGATCAGGATGTGTAATTATTTATCCAGTGTTTACAGTCTTTTACTTTGTGACATAGGATAAAAAGAATGCCTTGTCTCGTCTTAAATAGGAGACTACTGCCGTGCCATTGTTGATGATCTTTTATTCACTCTTATAGCGGAGATCATGGCATGAGTTTTGCAGTGGAGATGGCTTTGCTAGACATTTATATTTACATGTAAATGCTAGACTGAAAAGGAGAAGATTATCAGGTCTTTCCTCAACTTCCTTAATGTTGTCTTCACATCATCCCTATCATCAGTCTCCACCGGCACTAGAAAGTTGTAGGAGAAAACACAAGGAGCCAAAGCTGACCAGTCATAACAAGTTATGCTCAACAAATGCATATCCATTGTCCAGGTTCAATACAAAACCTGATAATAGGTAAGACCTTGTACAAAAAAAAGTAAACCTTGAAGTAATCCTAAAATATTTTTAAAAGAACTTAAAGTAATTACAGTAAAAGCATAGACATTTTTGCCATGAAGATGACTGAAATCGTTTGGTCAGTGTGGAATGCCAAGATTACTCAGATTGCTCTGCCTTTTGCCTTCTCTTGCAGCTTGATTTCAAGGAATGTTCCTGAATCTCTCACAAATGTATAATCTGTGTGTAAAATAAATACACCCAGTATTTATCCTCCCCACTTAATTTCAGAAAGATTTGACCACATATACCATCTTAACACTATTAAATGTGTGGTAAATTCTGTGCTTTAGAAGTTTCCAAAACATTTGATCACTTCTAGACTTTGTTCTTCAGCTCCCACACTCTTACACATTCTCATTAATGTCTATATGGAAGTACACAGATCCAAATACTTTCAAACACAGAATGTATGTGCAGAGCAAAGCAAACAGTGTAGCAGATCAACGGGAGAGCTAATGTATCAGTGTTTCAGATTAGCTTCTCTCCAGTAGTAACTTGTCCTACCATCTTTGTGACCTAATTGTTTTGCTTTGTTGGAAACTACAGTTACACTTATGGGTCACAGGCAATTCTGAGCCTAAGGAAAAAGAATCAAAGACAACTTTGCTAGGAGTTTACTCTCTGGTTGTCTCCAGTCGTAATGTGTATGTGCGCGCGTGTGCGTGTGTGTGTGTGTGTGACAGTCCTAGTTAAAAGCATGAAATCAACAGACTGACCTTTGACCCATCTGGTCCTTTCTGCCTTTTGACTGTGAATGTAAATTAGGGTTACCCATCAAATGTCTGCAAGGTCAGAGCAGGGTCAATGTACCTGTAAACAGAGAAGCAGGGCCAAACTTTGGTTGAGAGGCTGATAACATTTAACTTTTATTAGAGTGGTGAGGGTCTGTTACACTTGCTCTTAGTCTTAATTCATGGGGTCTGGGCGGTGAAAACCAAAGGAAAACTCTGTTTTAACATTTTGAGCTTCAAGATTAGTTTCTACAAAGTTGAATGGACTGGATCTTAAACTGCCACCAGCTGTGCTGAGTTCAAGACATCCTACAGTTTTGCTCGCTAATCAACGAGCTTGAGTAGCAAGCGTCTTCTGTTAAATATGCTTGTGTAAGTTATGTAGATTCTCATAAATCTTTGAGTTGCCCCAATAAAATTCCAACTCAGCAGTGTTTGTCAGTGAATGAGCAGCGTTGACATAATCAACAACACTCTCTTTGGGTCTGGTCATGCCACAAAATGATTCAGTCCCGACAGTGTTTTTTAATCGCTTTGGAGTTATTGCTTTCAGCTGGCTGAGCACCACTGATGCCCATACTAAGCGCTTACACTGTGCATATCAACAGGAAACAAAATCGGCAGCAAGCAGACCAGTGTTTTGGTTAAACTCACAAAGACCGTGAGATCACTGTCAGGAAATATGCAAATAATAGCTCTATTTTTTACCCAGGTCTCCCACAGATGCCACAAGAAGTTGAGAGTTTCACATAATTAATGGTAAAGAAAGAAAGAAAGTGTTTGCAAGTGAAAGCATCTGCATGAGTAAACATCTTGCAGTAGTTGTCATGTCTGTGAGAAAATAGGGGATTTTAGGTTCAATAGATTGATGCGTCAGTGTGCTTCAGATAAAGTGCTTGTTGGATCGTTCAACAGTGAAACCCTCCCACATTAGCCGGGGTAGGGGTGAGTTCAGCAATTTTTGTTACCTTCTAAAACTGACAATCTAAATCTAATCTCCCCTGGTTAAATAAAGGAATGCAACAATACACGCAGGTTAGTTGGCAGAACTTGAGAAACTTTCCCAGAACCTACTGGCTACTGCTCTCTAGTGCATCCTTCCTGGATTTGGTCATCAGTTTATCTGATTGTTGTATATTAATTTCTGTCACTTCCTAACACTGCTTTTCACAACCTGACAGACCATCGTATGGAAGGAACTTTAATTCAAAGTGAGTGCAGAGGCATCAGCTTGCAGTGTAGCATCGGACAGTAGTTTGCAAGCCTTTATAAACATGCCAAATTTGATTGCATATTGAGTATCCTGAGAGCTGTAGTCTTTGACGCTGTCCAATGAAAAACACCAATTTACTTTCAATCGCTCTAGGCTGATTTTGGAACCATGGGCGATATTTTGTCAAGGCTTTTGGGAATGTTATCACAAACATTGCACACTAGAGTTTATAAGACCTCTGCTATTCCCAGATTATACTTGAACTCTATGTTACCTGTGGTTGGTAAGCTATACTTGGCGCCATCGCTAACACTGACATAGGTCATATGATGGACATTGCTGGCATTTATTTAATTATTATTCCAGATTAGAGAGGCATTTCATTAATTTTCTGTAATGTATTAGGTTTGACTATAAATGGCAGGTTCCCATCCAGAATTTCATTTGAGATTTATGGTAATTCTCATGTGACCTGAATCCAAAATCTATTCCAAAATAAACTGAAGATCTTTTGGGAGTTGTCTTCTGCTACAGTAAAATATTTCAGCTGCTCAAAGACAATTTATTCTAGGCTGAAATAGTCTGTATTGCTGCAGTAATGATTTTAAACAATACTTTTCTAAATAAGGGATTTCTCTTTTTCATACTCACCCTCTCTCGCTTTCTCTCTCTCTCTCTCTCTCTCTCTCTCTCTTTTGGCAGATGTGCAAAGTAAAAGTGTAGCATATCATTAGATCAGCAATGGTTCCAAGGCCTCTGCCCCTATTGCATGTTCAGGCTTTACAGCGAGACCTCACTCTTATCGGAGACAACGCTGCATTCCACTGCAGGGCAGATGGAGTCACGTTTTTCAACACCCCATCGACAAGATTTACTATTGTGCCCAGTATCTCTGTGATTTGTAGGTGCAACCCACTTTGAAATACTTTCATTTACCTCTGCTCCCTCTGGCACAACACAAGGCTGAGATATGTTGATGAATATGCTTGGTGTTCACTTTTGCACTCCCCTGTGAAAACTATCTGTATTAATCCGTCTCTCTTAGGCTATCCTATCAGGGTCAAAGTTGTTGACTTTTCTTCATTTTTTTATTTTTGCCTCATTTGACTCATTACCAGGAATAGCAGATTACAAGATGTCTAGGGATCAATATAGAAAATCTACCTTCCTGAGGCCCATTTATGTATGGACCAGTACATAGTCGTCATATCTTTAACAAATTTATTTTCTAATATAAAAAGATTGAGTAACTACATCTTCTAATTGTAATACAACATCAGTATATTTTTCCATGACCTAATCTTTTAAATGTTTAAAGTATGAAACAACAGACTGACAAAAATTTTTTTATTTCAGTGCTTCTTTCAAAAGACTGATTTCAGATTTATGTTCTACCTGATGGTCTGATCATCGTCATTCATTGTTAAAATCAGCTGAGTGAGGGTTCTTTATTTGTGCCGACATAGACCCAGTTTTTCGTGCTTTGCTCGTTACTCAAGAGCTTTAGTGAACTGATTGTAGTCAGAATAAAGGCCTGGTCACACCAGCAGCTTAAACTTAAAAAACTTGTTATAACTTGTTATATTTCATGGCAAAATCTATTACTCCCAATGTAATCAAGC